CCTTTGCCGTTAAACTGTTTATCTTCAGTTGTCCTCCCTCCATTTCAGACCGGTCTGCGGCTATGTCTCCCTTACACCGTGTCCAGGTGATGCTGGGTTCTGGATGCCCCTCTGCAGAACAGTTGAGTGTCACTGACTGTCCATGGTAGAGCTCAATCTTCTCTGGTGGCTTGACAGTAAACTGAGGCACCACATTGACTACAAGAGATGTCATAGAGTGTGTTGTACCCATGGCGTTCGAAGCTGTGCAGATGTAGGTTCCTGAATCTTTCTTGTCTGCCTTTGCGATGGTCAGGGTGTGGCCATGTACAGTGGCCCTTCCACCAGGTAGATCACCAAACAGTTTTGTCCATGAAACCACGGGAGGGGGATATCCTATGACCTGGCATAGAGGGAGTTTGACTTCCTTTCCACTCTCGCTGTAGATCGGTCCGGTAGGAAGAGAAATGAGTGGACGAGCTAAGGTGATATAGTTGGAAAAAATAATGAAGAAAATGATTTTGACCTGTGCAACTATAACTTCAAGAGAGTATGTATAATAATGTACTCTAGTCACACGGTATACTGTTTGTCCCAAAGGATGGTACGTTACCACAGATTTTCTTTAAATTGACTTTTGTCATAACATTGATATCACCGTAAGGGCCTATTTACACGGTACGACTTTGTCGCATGCGACAAGCTTACGACAGGCTTACGACACGAATTGTTTCGTGTAAATCAAACCTACAACTCGCTTACGACTCTTAAGTCATGTCGTAGGCCTGTCGTAAGCTTGTCGCATGCGACAAAGTCGTGCCGTGTAAATAGGCCTTAATAAAGGCCCCTTATTGATGAAAGTTTTTAAACATGTTATCTCCGTGTTTAACATGTGAAATCATCAATGCCAAAGCCTGACAAATTTCTCTTAACTTGAAAACTATTTAAGATAGTGATGTCTCAAAATTGACCTAGGTATTGATCTACAGTGTATGATGAAATTTAAGAAAGCATTTGCCAAAAACAGAACTAGTTATGGTAATTATTAAACCATTGAGATTGCTACTTGCCATTATCGGCTAAATAAGAGCAAACATATACGTAACTGGCCTAGTAACAGCAACGTTTATCGGTTACCTTTCACGTTGAGTGTAACAGAAGCCTGAGCGGTCCCCTGGTCAGTACGAATTGTGCAAACATACATCCCATTGTCACCCACTGTAGCATTCTTGATGTGTAGAGATCCTTTGATGATGGAGTATCTTCCCCTTGGAAGGGAGCCAACTTCCTTGAACCAGAAAACTGTCACATCCATGTTTTTCTTCGCCAAACACTGAAATGAAGCGGACTGACCCAAGGCAATAGTGCTGACAGCTGGTGTCACCACAATCCCAGGGGCAGAAATAACATCCGCTGCCTGTCCCCTAAATGGCTGGAGGGAGGTCGGAGTCAGTGAGGTGGGCTCTCCGGGCTCACCCTTCTGTCCCTTTATCCCAGGAGGTCCGGGAAGCCCCGGATACCCAGGGGGACCATGAGGCCCTCGGGGTCCAACCTTTCCAGGGGGTCCTTGTACACAGATTTGACTTCTGCTGGTGCAGATCTTTTTCGTTACGGAGTAAACTGATCTGTTGATTTGTTGCTGTATTTCTGGAGTTAAAACGTGATTGTCTCCTTTTGGAGGTGTTTCAGCAGCTCTCGGGCTCCTCTCTTTTCCTGAAGAGCGGAGAGACTGAACATTCGGTGGGCGAAGTTCTGTGAAATTAATCCATGAGTAAAGTTTTTGAATGGTTGGGTATTTGAAAGAGAAAGGCAGGAAGGGCTCAAAGTTAGTATATTTGCCGCACGATGAAGGTGTCGCCTCTTTGGAGATTTTCTGTCTAAGTGGGGTTTAAGTTTAAAGCTATGAAATGAAACCAAAGATTAACAGCTATTTACGAGATTACACAACTTATTATTGCACTGAAAACTCACTAAGAGCTTCTCAAACATTAAAAAAAAATGGAAACAATATGTCGCACACCCACAACTTTTCGGACTTACGGACGGACGCAAAGCTGTCGGAGGGTAACTGCAAATTTAAAAATGTGGTAAAAGTTCTAAAATGGGACTGTTTACCTTCTCACCGTCATTAAATCATTTCTCCCTTCTTAAATAGGGCTTACGCGAGTTTATGAGACACTACCTGTGGAATACCAACACTGCTCAATGATAATTTCAGTGGTTCTTTTGTGCGCTTAACATGTTTAGATTTAGTTGTTCCTTTTTGTTCATTTATTAGTTCTCAGTCCAATTTTGTTCTAGCCTCAGTCTGGACTGAAAGTTTAAAAACAAGTCGAACTGTCCTCGTTCACGAGACTTTGGCAAGAAGTCTTCCTCACTATGCAGTGTACTCACCCTTTGTTGCATTCTCCTGAGCTCGTGTTTCCTCAAGATATTTTTCTTTGATCTCAAAAGTCTCGAGTCTTTCTCTATAAGCTTCTAGTTGTAACTCAAGTATCACAAAACCAACACAGTACAGCAAAATACTGATAAACGACACACAACAGCAAACCACGAGAAGACGGGAAGATCCTCCAACGCTCGACATTGTGAACAACCTCTCACAAGTGACTCAACACAGAAATGCCTTGTCTTTTTTAAACCTTGCATTTGATATCAGATTGTTTGGAACACCCATGATGTTTTTATATCTTTGATTGTGCCGATTTTATTTTAAAATATATTTGCATTAATTTAATATTTTTTCGTTGTGATTGCAAGATGAAAAACGCAGGCTGTTTATATCACTCATCAAAAAACCTTCTCACGTCCAGAAATGTTTCTTCCAAATCATTTTGACATGACAAGACCGACAAAATTATCGATACTTATATCGATTCCAGCTCCAAATCATCCATTACTAATATATAGTTCTCGGTTTTTAATATAAAAATGCTTTTGCAGTTTCTGGTACTTCAGAAAACCAGATTGCGTAGAAAAACATCCTCCTATGCGCTTATGTTTTTCAGTTTTACTAGAAATGTGTCAGTATATTTAAACTTTGAACTTCAGTAATTAGGAACACCCTGAATGTTTAGATTAATTAAAATCTGTGTTCGCCGACTTTCCTTTGCTGATTGTCAAAGGACACATGAACACGCGCAGTTTGTATGATTGCCATATGTTTTCTAAAATCACTCATAAACTCTACTGTCTAACTATAGAATGTTTTCCTTGAAATGATTTTGAACACTACAAGTCCCACTAAACCATTCGACACTTTCTTCCTTTTAACCCAGTATCCTGCGAAAGCAATCAGTATCTTACGGATGATATACACCCGCTTAATTCACTCTTCTAACCAAAACTGCTTTGTGGTCATTTAGCCGCGAGATAATATCATCTAGAACACCCTGGATATATTTGTTTTTCCAGACTAAAGCTAACTATCTGAAATATCTAAACTTGTTTACCATCGGACTGATTCTGTGAGCATGTCAGTTAAAACATTTAAAGTTTATATACCGTCTCATCCACAAGACTCTTGTGGCAGTAAGTTTGCTTCCAAATCATTCTTGATAAAATATCAAAACTTAGCTCTTCATAGTTTTGTAACTTTCAACTCTTAAAACAATATTTTCCATTTTGAAAGGAATGTATAAAATCGATATATTCAAAAAGCGGGTTAAAAATATCAATAGAAGTTCTGGGCGTCTTGAGTGCTGCATTGGTCAGGGGTTTGATTCACGTTCAAACAAGAATCAGGCAACGTCCCTACTTCATAAGTGCAAATCGCTACAACGAAACAGGTATTTTCTGACCTACGGATGATCTACAAGTACATGTGTCTTTGAGGCTTGAATTTTTTTCAGGGTTTTTTTCTGCAATTTCGTTAATTGCGGTTCATCGAAAGGGTTATCTTTTTTCTAGTGTATATCACTCATCGACAAATCTTCTATGACAAGAACGCTCCCTTTTTGTCTATAGGTACACCTTTGATATTCTTATTCGTTACTTATTCTCGGTTTTGAAATCTCAATTACTCTGTCATTTTTGAGTCATTTTAACAAATTTTCATTCCCCGCTTTTTTGGCCAACTTCTTTTATGCCGACTTCTATATACACTTCAATTGTTTTAAGTCAGTTATATGATCTCGAATGCCAGAACGCAAAACGTTTCCTCATTAGACACATAACATTACACGTCTTTCGATTTACTATATGGATCAATTTTTTTACGTTTTCGTTCATTTCACCTTGTTTCAATGAAAGAAATTATATTTTCTAAAACTGTGTCGGCTTGTTGAAGCCATGGCCCAGACGACCTTAAGTTAACGCTTTTCTAAATTGATTACAAGCGGTATCAGTAGCTGAAATCTTGTCTTCCATTACTCTCGTTATATTGCCAAAGAAAACTCCCAAATTTGATAACACTCATCAACAAATCCTTTATGTCCACAATCTTACGATTTCAAAGATCATATAGAATGGGCACGTCCAGTTTCTTCGGAATTGCTGTCAAATTTTCAAGTTTAAAATAAGTTCTTGGTAGTGGTACGATTTTTAAAATGGCCGGCTCAATCCTCTTAAATTTTCTTTTAAGTGGGGTGGATTCAGGATTCCGGTGACTATCGCAAAATTCCTCACAAGATTTTGGTATCGATATTTATAGCATTTTTGTTACTACTGGAAAAATTTTGTAAGCCTTAATTGCCCTTTTTTGCCCGTTTTGATGATCATGCAAGATCTTACAAGTTTTACCAATCAAAACTCGGGAGACACAATGGCCCTGGACTTATTGACGTGCTGGGTTTTCATTAAGAGGCCCATATTCATACCCTGCCCAGGTCAATGTGCTGCCTTTTAAGAAGAAAGTTTATTTCACTGAGCTACTCTCCACACAGGAGTATAAATTGGTAACCGTGAAACATCACGGAAACGCACTGCTCTGGACTAGAATCTCGTACAGGCGATAAAAGATTATATATAAAACTACCTGCGTGATAATGTTTGAAATTTCTCTTTATTACCTGTGTGTTCGGGAAAATAGCCACACTTACGTCCTTTTTTCAGTTTTATGCTGTCTTGCTCCCTTCAAAAAGCCCAACCTATCACTAGGTAGTCACGTGCCCAGACCTTCCACGGCAAAGCAGTTATAAGGATCCTTCATTTCAGTTACTGCTACACGGTAGAGTCTGGGTACGAGATTACTCGTGAGGTGTTTTTACTTTAAGGTACATGAGAGGGATATCAAACATGGCACATTCCGACTTAGAATGGCCTCAAGGTAGAAATTGGGTTCGCTGTGCTTAGTAAGCCCTGAGGGTTGAAGTCTTCAAAAAGTGAAAGTGAAACTGAGTTTAATCCAGAAAAGGTTATTTTGAGTGAGTACATGATGCACCCCTCAGTTTATGCGTTAATTGACAACAGTTTCCTAAAATATATAGCCGTAATTCACTCCAATAAGCATCGTACCAACTCTTTCTTTAGACGGCAAAAAATTTCCTGCCGTGGATATAATCACTATGGACCTTAATTAGTCAGTTTTATCCTTTTTGAGTTGAAACCTTGATTCCCCCGAATACTTTCCCAACCGATTCGAAGAACGGATCGAAAAATGTCCTGACACAAAGCCCGAAGATCTTGCCCAGACATTGTAGCTCAATAATGTACGCTCTCAGACAAGGCATTATGCACCATATGTAGTCAAAACTGAGGCAGGCGAAGTATATACCACAAAGTACCGCAGTTGGAACACCAAGGATGGCTGTAATAATTCGATAGCACCAGTATTTGGTGTTGACAAACGCTTTGAAGCTCGTGCGCCAAACTCCATCGATACTGTGAGTGCCTCCGGGTTCCGCGAAAACATCTTGGAAGAATACCTAAATGAACGAGAGAGCCGAGAATGCAGATATCAGAAGGTTCGGTTAATAATTGGTCGGGTAATTTAGTATTATCAACTAAGTTGATAACGTAAATCAGCCACCATAAAGAGTTTCAAAGCTGAAGTTTCGAGCGTTAGCCCTTCTTTGGAGAGAACGAATAATTGGTTGGATCGCCACTGGCAAGTCGCGTCTTACCTTCACGTGGTCGTTCATGGCTGCCGGATCTCTGTCTTCAATGTTCATCTGATGTCCATGCTGTGCTGCGTGTTCGGTCCCGCGAATTTCAACTTGAACCTCGCGGAGTTCATCTGTCGATGACATTTTAATGCTGCTGTTTTAACTGATCGTGAAAAGCCTCTTTTAAGCGTAAAGAAAAAACAATATGATATTATAACAAAGAAAACAAAAAGCTGCACTGCACGGTAGGATAGTCGGCAGACCACGTGCGCAGGTAATTAGGAGCGCAATCTCATTGGTCAATTCTTGCAGTGTCAGTTCTTATTTTAAAGCTGCTATAAAGCTGTTGAGCCTTTTTTCTCTAAAGTGATTACAATGCAACTTCTCCTCACAGTTTCAAGACCTTACCTGGAGAACAGGTTAGGCGAATTATAAGCTTGATATAGTAATTTCGATTATAAAACAAATTCTCCTAGCTTACAAAAAAGAAATGTAGGGAAGTTGGAGAGGAGATCTAACAATCAGATCTTAAGAGGTATAGACATCAAAACACATTCATAAACAGTGCCATGCAGTGCTGTTATGTATCAGAGAAGATCTTCCTTTTTAGTGTTTTTAATCTTTCAATAAGCAATCATGGCGACAGCCCTCTGCATTTTGTAATGATACTAGACGAGATGATAGCAAATAAAGAGAATTGAGATCAGAATTCCAGTACAATTTTCAATTCACTTTATGAAAGATTTTTCGTACTCGCTAACTCTCATATCTTTACTTATTTAGTTCTATGTTATTTTACAATAACATCCTGTATATCACAACTTGTCTTAGAAGAATTCTCCTTGAATAAGTTTCAAGAGTTTATCAGCTAAATTGATTATCCCCTGGTGCACGATATCCTTACACTCACAAAACTCACGGTGACGCCACCACTTTTTTAAAACCCTACAAAACAATATTCCTCTTAAAATTTTAAAAATTATCCTGAATCATTTATTTGCAAGAAAGAATAATAACAAAAGTTTTTTTGCAGAGCACCAGCTGCTCCACATGTAAACAGGTGACCCTACAAGAAGCTACCAGTTTTCTGCGGGTGAAAAAAGAACACGAAATAAGGAGTGATTAGCATGAAAAGCTCAACTCTCCAAAGGATCATCTTTCACAACTCACGGCTGGATCTCTTTGTATATGAATAAGCCGAATCTAAGCATGAAATGATAATAGCAAAAGGGTTTTTGCAGAGCACTAGCTTCTCCACATGTGAACAGGTGACCCGAATAGAAGCTACCAGTTTTCTGCGGGTGAAAAAAGAACAGGAAATTAGGAGTAATTCCGATGAAAAGCTCACCTCTCCTAAGGATCATCTTTTATAACTTACGGCTAGATCTCTTTGTATATAAATAAGCCGAATCTCTATTCATGATATCCATAATGAGATGCACTTTAGTTCGGAAGACGGATTTCAGATACTAACTTGAGAGAGACTTAGCAGCTTCATTTTTTTTCATAATTAGATAAAAATAAATGTTATTTTGACCAGTGGATGTTACAAATAAGGAAATTATGCAAACAGCTTAAGTTCAAATAAAGAAACAGATAACAAACCCTGAACAAAATCAGGCTCCTACGATTTTCGAACTTTTTTTCCCCACAGCACTAGTTGAATTGCTTCAATTTGTCTCATATGTCTAATGAAACAAGAATTTGAATCATTTTTATGTTTTGAAATGTTTACAACATTTTTCTCATATTTTGAAACATTCACATTTTATTAATAGCTTATCTTTTTTTCTTGGCTCTATACAACCCTTCTGCATAAAGCCCTTGGCTGAAAGATTTTTCTTTTAGAATCTCGAACTGTGCCCGAAATAACGCGAAGAGTAATGAGTAAATATTTCTTCGCCCTGAGGTGCGTTTCATTCTTTAGGAGGTTACAGTTTTTTTGCCTCTCGGTTCTCTAAAACATATCAGGAGGAAAATTGTCTCTTGTCTTATTACCCTTTTCAATTAGAACTGAAACGATATTTGATCGTTGTGACAATAATTCAATGATCACATATAAAGCGATTCTACGATTTTTGCCGAGACAGACGGTACGTCTGTAAGAATATCATGTGTCTCGCGCTTGCGCAGTATACTTACACGACGCCTCGAACCTCCAACACCATATTGAAATTATAAGTGCTGATTTCTCGTTGCATTAAGTGTCGTCATTTTAATTGTGCGATCACGTGAGACGTTTGGATCCTACAGACAGTTGTTCTTCCACTGAGTTGGATTTTTTTGCATGATGCTACGAAGGATTTTCATTCTCGAAAAGGATATTGCGAAATAAAATTCACAAGGCAACTTGGCAGGGTTCCAGCGATAACGACAATATTTTGTTTCCTCTTCTTTTAGACAGAACAAAGGTTGCTAAGCACTGAGTTTATTTCAGGAATAGTCTAACATGCTTAATTATCATAACGGCAGAGATTCAAACTGCAACTTGAACATAATTGTTGACTATTGGTCAACTTTTTAAAACAACATAGTGTAGATTACTTTTGAGCAGGTGAAAGTCATCTTTGTGCGTCAAACTAATAAATTATTCGTTTACTCATATTCGTGATAAACACGATCAAATTATTGATATCTATCGAAACTATGCAGAAAGAATCAAGCCTGAAAGCCTATAGAATCCTGAGCTAAGAGTGAAAATCTTGTTTTTGGATAAAACGCATTGGTAGTGGATATAGTTATGCGGTGTCGTATTTTACGACACAGCTGTTGAGTCATACGCACTCAAAGTTGGAAACTTTCGATCGACTGAAAACTTTCAAGTCGTCAAACACCGAATTAAACAGCACCAAAAGTCATAAGGATTTAAAAGAAAACGCGTGTCTTCGCTTTTCGACGTGGGAATCGCCTTCTTTGTTGCTATTTCAGCTTTTTACTCAAATTGAAAAAGAGTCGGACATCTTTAACATGTGTGCACATCAAGAAGCTTCCAGCGATCTTCACACGGCACTACGCAACAGATGCACAGAGACTGTAGTAACGGAGAGTTCAATCACCGGCTGCTTGATTATAGCGGGATTTCTATCCGGTTTAATTGTGTGCTCAGCGATCTACAGAAATGTAAGATTGCGGTACACCATTCACATATATATTTTATCGTATGCAATTATCGATTTGGTGACATCGCTTCTCGTTATGCCATTCACACTCGGCGCTCTTATCAAAGGCGAATGGGTCTCTTCCGAGTCCGCTTGCCAGTTTCAAGGCTATGCTATCTCGGTACTAGGCATTTTCACTGTCCTTACCATGACTCTGACCGCTTTTGACAGATATATGGCCAGTTCACGCCTAAGTCAATATTGGACCCTCTTCAAACAAAGGCACATCTGTATTGTCCTTGCCGTTTTCTGGCTTTTTTCCTCCGCAATTCCGTTATCCTCTACCTTGGATCGCAACGACTTTGTTTTTCACCCCGGTTATGGCGTTTGTAGAAGCGAAGCCAAAAACGAAACTTATCTCCGGGCGTCGATTTTGAAAATAGTCATCTTTATTGTACCTTCTGTTGTCATCGCTATATGTTTCTGCCGAGCGAAATTAAATATTCAGCGGAGATTCAAAGATCCGAAACTTTGGGCTCAAGAAGGGCGAATGGAAAATTTAAATGCTTGGAAAGACGAAGAAAACAAAACAAAACTTCTAGCTGCTTTTATACTAGGAACTCTTTTTTTCTGGGTTCCTGGTTACGCTTGCGACGTTGCCGACGCATTCACAAACGAAAAGTGTCTCCCGCGCTCAATCTATTTGTTAAGCACGTTTCTTTTCAACGTCTCTCATTGCGTGAAACCGCTAATTATTGCGGCCATAGATGGAGACTTTGCCACGGAATTTAAAAGAATCCTCAAATTTCGCAAAATCAGGAGAGTTGTCGACGTAAATGTGCAAGGAAACAAGCTTGGAGGAGATCCAAAGTTTATGCCGGAAACCAGGAAGTATTATTGCCAAACGGAAGAAGATGATGATGCAAATTTGACTAAGGCGAACGAGTCCAATATGTGAACACGTGATAAACTGAACGTTCTGCCAAAGTGGAGCAGCAACTGCATTTACTCCGGCTTTACTTATCCCACAGAAATGATTAATATGCAACTTCTCCTTTCTCCCTGCAATATTCATCCATTATTCAGAAAACAAGAATTTGAGAATTGACCAAATTATCACTTAAAGAGTTTGTCTTGACACAACGAATCCTCCAAATCACTGTGCGAGGAACTTTTTGGATGCTGTAAGAGAGAATTGAAAATCATGTCAGAAGATTTAAAGAAGTTAACATATTAAGTTCTTGGCAAGCAAAAAAAACCAGTTAATTTACATTTCAAAGTAAATTTTCCAAAGAGAGATAATCATTAGTTCTAGCAGCTTGTACATACAGATGTGAACATTTTGAAGCTGTATAGAGGCCTTTCAACAACTAATTAATGATGTAAAATAATCTGAGATGAATTGTAATACTAATGATACGTGAGCTTGTTGTCTGTAAAAGCCTCAGTTTTAAACGGGATTAATTTCCCAATTTTTCTCTGACGCCTATTTATACTTGAAGGGGAGTCAGTAAAGAAGGGAAAATCAAATGAACTGTCCTCGAAACCCATCAAATCACACAATGAAAACGGAAGCTAAAGAAACTTTATATATCTGACATCCAGTAAAAGGATTTTGAGATTAAAGGTCATCATTATGAGCTTTATTTTTTCGACGTTCCCTTGAATCAAGCCGAGATCGACCGCAGCAAATTAATCACCTCTATCTGCGTTTCAAGTAACTGACGTCAAGCAGCCTCGATATGGGTTCCTTCCCTGTGGTAAAACACTTCTAGTCAGATACATTAAAACAAGTTAACTTTCTACTTATTGGACCGTAGGTTTTAATGTTCAATATGAAGAAAATCGCTCCCCGCAGCTCACATGAAAATATTGTGTCCAGAAAAAAAAACACAAGAGAAGCACGCAGCTACAGAGCTATTACTGCGCGGTATTAAAATTGATTTTTTTTCCCCACCAACGCTATTGCTCTCCGACGTCATAAATTCGTTGTTCTTGACTCGATAAAGGCTGTATCTTATAAATATTTCAAAATTGAGTTAATTGATCGCCGCCTGTCCTCGGTGTGTTATTCTGCTTGGATTTTTGAAAACTCGTCTGAAGATTACTACGGAAAGTAATAAAACAGAAAAAGAGAACACAAAACAATGCTTTCCACATTTGACCTTCTTCGACATAAAGTGAAGTATTAATATCTCTCCATCATTTTCACACTCAACCCTTTAACTCTTGGAGGTGGTTAACATGTTAATAATTAATTATTTTTTTAATATTCACGTATTATCCATCAAATAGGTAATAATAATACGCAAACTTATGAAGTAGAAGTTGCTTTATTGATCTAACACCAAGTTCTCTTCACAAGGAAATGTGTAGCACCTCGAGGGGAGGATTAAAAATCAGATCTTAAGAGTTAAAGGGTTAAAACTGAACTTAATGCACTCACTGCATATCAGCTTTCATCAGGACATTATCACGAGTGCGAGAGATTAACAAGTGTTTGTTTTCATGACTTACGAACCTTCTATGTTCCTGATTTTTATCTCTTACCACGAAGAGTCAGTTATAGCAACGAAAAAGAAACCAAAGGCGTTTTATGAAACGTTTCTGAGAAAGGGGGAGATTATTTCGCTTTCCCCACCCACTCCCCTACCGTCAACTCTAGCTCCAAATCAAACATGGCCGGTTTAATCTCCCTGTCTGTACACACACGCGATGCAACGTGCCAATCGCGTTTAGAGACCTTGACCTTGACCTTGACATTGGGTTTGACATGAACACTTTGGCGGACACTCAAGTTTTTTTTCGAATTCAATATGACAAATCAGTGTTGCCTGTTTTCCTTAGGCTTTTCAAATATTTATTAACAGCAAAATATTTTATTTCATTTGATACGTTCATTAAATTTTAAGTTACGGACCTTGGATTTTAACCTCTTTATCGGAAAAGGATTTTTTATAGAATTCTTTCTTATCCTCGCCGTGCCTAGGCAGGCATAATCTGAGACCTCTTGTTTATGGCGTGATGATAGTTGTTTTGAATAATGTCATTGAAATGTCGGGTGTCAATATGGTGGATGCAGTTAAGCGTTTACCAGATTTATTCTCGGTTAATCAGGAAAGTTGGCGTTGGAAACTTCACTCGTAGCATGGCACTGTCGACTGTCTCCAAGTGACAGCTTTAGAGATAGTTCAAAAATAGCATTCTATTATGGTATCATTTTACCAATACAATCCGCTAAGGAAGTCACTGTTTTCCCGGAGGATAAGAAAAATAAATAAGTGATCTAAAAATAAACTCTTCAACAAGAACGCTGTATCATCAATCTATATAAGTTGCCTATTTCGGGGACTACTTGGGGACTATTCGGCCTTGCGTTAGATCAGGGGTAAAAATTGTAAGCGTGGCAATGGCGTGGCAAGAATGACAAATGCTCAGTGGTCCTGCCCAAAAATAGCTCTTTCCAGTGTAACCTGGCCATCTGAACAAGTCTTTTGGTAATAGGGACTTTAAGATCCAACAACGCGGACTTCGTCAAATATACCGAAGCCGCGTGAGACCTGTGTCGAGGACGCCGTGTTCGTGGCGGGAAATTTTAAGTTAAGATGGCGGGATTCAACGACGCGGCTACCCGCGGATAGAATAAAAAGAGTAGTGAAATTACTTTATTTCTGAACAACAGAAACCGATTATAGTATTGTTTTCAGTGCAAATGGCGACTTCTAAAGAAACTCGCGAAATTTTGCTGGCCAGCTTTGCCTCTAATATCATTACGATTGAAGAATATGCTTTGCTTTTCGAAGAAAACAGTTCAAACAACTTGGATTTTCCGTACTTTAACTACCCGCCGTTTAACTTAGAGAGCCAAAATGAAGCCGAGTGTAGGGCAAACTTCAGGGTGGAAAAGCACCACATTCCTCTGGTAGAAGATGCTCTTCAAATTCCGCAATACTTCGTATGCGACCAGGGAACTGTTTGCGAAGGAACAGAAGGGCTTTGCATGCTTCTGAAGCGATATTCCTTTCCTTGTCGATACTCAGACATGATACCTATTTTCGGAAGGCCAGTACCAGAACTTTGCATGATATGCAACACCGTAACCGGTTTGGTGTTTGAGGCCATGAGAACTGTCTGTTCAGAAATATGAGTGAGCCTGACAAGAAAATACAAAAAGAAATGACGAATGCAGCCGGGATGATAAAACTTTCGATATACATAGAAAAAGTGCCAATTTACTGTGTTTTTGTAACTGAAATAAGTCGAAATACTTACAGTTGACAACGTGAAAATGCTGTCCAGCGCTGTGGTGATCATTTTGGTATTTTTACTTCCGGTCAGCCTCAGTCACGACCGCGTTGTTGGATCTTAAAGTCCCTAATGGTGGCCTCAGACGGTGATATTTCTGACGCCGAATGGCGCCGCCAACTTAAGGCTTTAGGTGAAGAGCCTCCGAAAAAGTCCTCTCCCAAACGATCGACTATCGACTATCGACTGGCCTCAGACGGTGATATTTCTGACGCCGAATTGCGCCGCCAACTTAAGGCTTTAGGTGAAGAGCCAGGGCCTATTACACCCTCTACCAAGGGCTTGCTACTTCGTAAATTAAAAAGGTTACAGAATGAACGAGGAAGCAACGCGACGCCTCCGAAAAAGTCCTCTCCTAAACGATCGACTATCGCCCGCCGGTCGATACCCACAACGAGAAATCAAAGTCCATCGCGTAAGTTGATCGGCTTTTCTAGTGACGAGGAAGACGCAGGACCAATTCATTCAAGTAGTTTAGTTGATGATAGCAGGGCTAGGCGTGGAGAAGAAACGTCGTTTAGTAATGTTTCCCAGAGATGCAGCCGGTCGAGGTCGATTACTCCATCAAGGAGGAACAATTTGAAGTCGCGCGTAACGACCGTCATCGATCAGGGTAGCATTGCTGTGAACACGTTAGATTCCACGGATGGTATTGATGGAGAATTTTCAGATTCCGATGCGCAAAGCTATCAAAGACCAGGAGGTCGAGTTTTTGGTTCAATTGACTATTCCCGTCCACCCGTCTCGACAAAACGCGGAAGATCTCAAGACGAAAGTGAAGGATTAGAAACTAAGCTTTCATCCACTAATGGCAGCAACAAACATTTCTCTACTGCCGAATCTAAACTAAGCTCTTCACTTCAAGAGAGACATACTGGAGCCAAACGTGCGAAGAATAGCTCCTCTTGGTCATCAATTGCTAAGATCTTACTCGCATTAAGTGCTATTTGTATTCCTCTTTTGTTGTATGCGACCTTCAAGGGCCACTCAAGCGAACAAATGATCCCTGCAGACTTAGGTGAGAATATCGTCGTAATATCGCCTTTTCGGTTTTGTTTTATCATCTGATCAGCCAATCGTATCTTGTGCATTCAAGTATTTTAGCTAGTTATCTACCACTCGTTAGAGATAAATGTATTTCATTTCGAAGTGTACACACTTCTTAATCGTTGAACAAATGATGCTCTAATTTTAGACCTTTTGCTGTATTGTGGTTTTTATTTATTAATTAGTTTAGTCACTGATTTTTGTGATAAGACTTGCTGACTTCATTTCTTTTCCTTTGTAAAACTCACAGTTTGCCAAGGGAAAAATCCACTGGATGAATTTGGGAATAAACCCAAGGTAACAATGATTATATGATATACAAAATGATAATTGCTCGTGAGTTTGACCTCTTATTGACTTGTTAATCAATAAAGCATAATGTATTTGTCACTGCAGCTATTTTTACCTCAATGTTACCTACATTTGAATGTTGACAACATAATTTCTCAGTGGAATTCAAACTTAATTGAAGTGTTCAACTGCACATTTAGTTATTAATTAATAGTCTCCATTATTTTAGGTAGGTCCCCAAGGGTGCACATAATTAAATGATTATTTTGTTTGTGAAGTTTTAATGACTGGTGTGATGTGTTAAATATCTTGTCTGGCTTTTGAGGTAAAAGAAAAAAAATCACCATTTCAAACAGACTCTGTGTCCAGTGTTTGTGATAAATGACAACATCTCTTTTTGATTGATGAAAAAGCTCAAATTTACCTTCCTTTTTAACCTTTTAACTCTGAAGATCTGATTAATGTTTCTCTCAGCTAGCCGCTACATATTTCCTTGTAAATTAGTGATGAAAATTTGGTGTAAGGTGAAGAAAACAACTATCACTTGATAAATATGAATGTTCTCGTAACCTGTTTACTGGATAGTGTAATGAATGTTGTGGAGAGAAGTTCCATGTTAATCACTTTTGAGAGTTAAAGGTAAATCTGGTTATACTCTTAGTTTATGTTTTTAATTTCATTATTCACTCCTATTTCATGTAATTGCTTTATAGCATCCTGATTGTATAACATTAGCCAATATCAGAAAGGGATATGTAGACTTTCTGTACAAAAGACTTATTATCAAAGCAGGTGAGAGAACTAAAGATATTTTAGAGATGAGTGATAGGTAAGCTGTAGTTGCTGCTAGCAAGCTGGGCTCTGTGTTAGAGGTTTTAAGGCTCAAGTTGTGCTCAGGGTGACTATGTTTTGTTTTTAGGT